CTATGCTTTGGCACAGATCAGGCCTGYAGCAGCCTCACAGCACAGCCCAACCACTCCACTCCTGGAGCTTCACTCCAGGAGCTGAGCAGCTCCTATCCAGACAGCAGAGGATGATCCACATGTCCATCCTCCTCTTACTGGTCATGAGAGATCTGGCAAGGCTTCACCAAGTTAAATGACAGCATCTGTGTGTCTCCTACACACCTACTCCTTCCCTGGGGATGACTTKCAGCACAAAGTATTCTGCAACACTGCTCAAGTGGAGCACACCCATCCGTGCACCTCCCTGGCTGCTCCTCCTCTCCCAACACAGCCAGGAGTAGGGAGCTGCCTCGGGAGGAGAGGGATGGAAACCCACAGGCTTCTTCCTCCCAGTCAGGGAGCCTCCTGGCCGCCTACCTGAAAGACAAGCTACATCTCTGACAGCTCTGCACTGCTCCAGGGAAGGAATAAGCTCACACCCCATTTGTCACACTTGGAAGCAAATCAGACAGACAGAACTCCACTCCRCTTGTCCTCCCATTTTGTTAAACAAGGGATGGGAGGCCGTGGCATGTCTCCTCGCCAAGCAAAGCAGCAAATAGTTTTTCAGCTGAGCACGAGCAGTGTGCAGGCGGGGGGAGCGGCCGAGAGCGGCTCACTGCAGCGACAAGAGACACAAGCCCATCTCATGATTAGTTATTGACTCCAGAGGAGTTGGAGCTCCAGCAGCAAGCCAGCCAGGAGAGCAAAAATCCCTCTTTTGTTCCCCAGCCTCAGACAGACTTGGCCACACAGCTCCCTGCTGTCTCGCTTCACACAATGAGAAAAGAAAGTTAATCCAGCTCCCCTACAGCAGGAGCCATCCAGCCTGCGGGAGCGATGCTGTGGAGCCATCCGTGAGCATTCCTGTGCAGCAGRGCCAGCCTCGCCTCTCCCTGGCACCCACCACTGCTGGTGGATACCAGACAGCTCAAGAACCTCATGGGACATTGCCAGGATCACCAGGGACAGCGATGGAGCTGCTCCTGCCTTCCAAACCTCGGGGCCTTGCTCAGATCCACAGGCCATGCTGCCTCCCCACACTGTACCCAAAAGAGGGACCAGCCATGGGGTGCCTGCTGCCCCAGTGGTGTGCAGGTGACTTCAGCTGCCAGCACAGGGATCTCAAATCCTYCTTTACAGACAAACTTTTGACTCAGGATAGAGCCAGACCACWATGCAGGGACTGAATCCACCTTTTCCTGAGCACTTTCCCAAGCCATAGCCTTCCTGCAGGAACAATGTTTTCCACTATATCAGAGGTCAAGTGGTAGGAGAATTGTGGCCAACAGAGTCCTTTAGTGTCATCCCTTCCCCTCAGGAAGGGCACAGGTTACACACAGATCAGAACCACCAAATCCAAATTTCTCCCCACTGCCCTTCTAGGGAAGAGAAGTTACCCTTTAGTTTGGACACATGGCTCAGGATTCCAGTGTCCTCCCCTGCATCCCCCTTCACCACTAGCTTTCTCTATTCTCCACATGAGAAGTAAGAATATTTATGACATTTAAGAGCAGGGAAAGAAATTATGATTCATGGGCTTTCTGCTCTGCAGAAACAGGAATTATGTAGTTGTATTTCTAGAACATGAACAGACACAGGTACTCGTGTCTGGAGTTTTGTAGTTCAAGGGAGTGATTTTAAAGTCAAGTCATCCCTGCATAAACCCGGACAGCCAAATAACAGAGTGGAGAACAGCAAAGTGCTGAAATCTGTTCCGGAAAGCACTTGCTGTTTCTTTACTCTGGGTGACCTGGCAGAGAGGGCTGTTATTTTAACATTACGCTKGTTGAAGCCTCGCTGAACGGCAGGCAGTGGGACCGAAATAATCCACATGGCCCCTGGAAGCCACAGAATTGAGAGGAAAGTGCTCCAGCATCCCCAGGCAGCACAAGCCTTTGTTCCCGCACGCTCCCGCCAGCAACCAGGACTGCCTGCCCTGCTCCAAATGAGCTGGCTTCCCTCCTCCCTCCCCCCAAATTAACTCCATCTCCAGCTGTCCCTGCGCAAGCTTCCTGTAAGATTAATTATTCTTTGTACACACACGTTTGATGATTTACCCAGCAAGTCAGGCACAATGATTAGGAATTCTCCGTTTCCATCAGCACTCTCCCCTGAGGCTCGGAAGTTTTCTGGGTAGGTCCTTCACCCTGGCACRGGCACAGGAAGAAGTGTGGCTCCTCAGAAGTTCCACATAGGTCACCCAAGGACCAGTCAGTATTTGTTATGCTGCTGCAAGGTCAGCTGAAGATGATGTTCTCCTGAACAGCCCTCATTGCTCCTCAGCAGAGCTGGCAGGGATACCAGCATAAGTGGGAACATTTATGATCCCATAAGGTATGTCCTCAGCTATGCTRTCCTATGACCCAAGATTTCTCGAGTGTTTAGCAAGGCACAAGGAGCTCTGTTTGCACTGTCACCTTCAGAAGGTGTAATTTCCAAGAGACATAAGTAACCGTGTGAAGAGTCACCTACAGGCTGGTTCCGCCTGTGATCTCACACACCACAGCACYGAGAAGTCACCGCGCCGGACTCGCCCAGCTCAGGAAATGGAAAGCACCAAACCTTGGCGCTGTGGGCCAGACCTGCCAGGGGTGAAGACTTTGTGTCTTCTCCTGGGAGCAGTTTGTTAGTCTGGAAAGCCACAGTTGGCCCCAGAAGGMGTGTGTACATGTGGGGGTATATACAATGTAAAACAAGTTGATGCCACCAGCTCTCCCCGCACCTCAGCAGGAAGCCAGAGCATGTCAGGTTGTCTGATMCCTCCACTGCTGAGCCCACAGAGCTCAACAGGGCTCAGTAGGCCCTTTAAGGTCTCTTTCACCTGCTGCTACACCAAAAAGGATGTTTCAGCAGCTACATGAGCCTCTTTCTCTGAGGGTGAGACATTTCCTTCATACAGAAAGAAGAGGGTGCCCGAGAGATCCCCAGGCAAGTGTGGAGGGTTTAAACACCAGAGACCACAGGACACAGTGCAGGAGGGAGAACACACAGCAAAGAGCCACTTTGTACTTGGCAGAAGTTGGTTTCACATCCAAATGTGACTTAACTAGGTGAGTTCAGACACCTGTAATGGAAAGTTTCTGCCCCAGCTTGTGAAGCCCTATACAGGAAACTCAGCCTGACAGAGCTGCTCAGGTGACCTCAGCACAGCAGAAGAAACAAMCACACAGAGCCCACCTCAGATTTTGGCTCAATACCTCTACCAGCTTTCCTAGAGTTCAGCTGCCCCAGCTCTCACCAAAATCCCTGCACTAGTGCCAAACACCAGATCCCACAGCAAAACCCCTCCTGAGTTCAGGACTTGTACTTGTAGTACACACCCCGATGATTCTCAGAATCAAAACAGAAAGRAGGCAGGAAGAAGATCTAGAACAAAGGGACCCCTTCCTCCTCCGCTACAACACCAGGAAGTAAAGAAGAGCTGGTGTAGAGCAGAACCTGTCAGGTCGTCTCCACATGGGAGTTAGAGAGGCAGCAGAAAGGTGTAGCCATGGCCAGCTGGCAGCACAAGGGGCCAGCACAACCAAACCCTACAAGGCCAAACTCTTGTCCCTCCCAAGAAGCACCTTCRGGAATGAATGGAAGTCAATGGGATGGGCTGAGGAGGGAAGTCAGCCAGACTTCATTRAGAACATATTTGCTAGAAGAAGTGCATCTGGGAGTACTCTCCAAGCAGATAAATGCTGGATCTGCAACTGTTTTGCTCTGACAGGAGTTAAACAGGATACAAGTTTGCACTTGTCCTAGATACTTYTTTTTCCAGCAGAAGCTTCCAAAAAGCTATTACAGACAACTGGGAGAGGTGCTCTCAAAAGCAAGRCACAGGCAAGCATAGGCATCACCATCCAGGCTGACGGCTCTTGAACAGAGATTTCACATTTTACATTACTCGATCTTTTTTCCCTCTCCAATAATTTGTTACAAAGGAAGCAGCATGCACACGCGAGAAGCAAGCAAGACCTCAGGGAAAACAGCAAATCGGTTCACATTTCCACMGCACTGAGCACGAAGCTGACTTGCAAATGCGAATGACTTCTCTAAGGCGGGGGAGGAAGCTCCCAGTTTGGATGATCCGAGCCCAGCACCTAATTTCCCTGCATTCCAGCCCTATCCCTCTGTCCTGACGGACTGCACCAGCCACGAGCATGGCCTCAGCCTCACATGGAGTAACATCTAACCGCAACACCTCCTGCTCCAGATCGCTGCTGCCCAGCGGGCAGTCTCTCCCCTGGCACACACAGCCTGGACATATCCCAGACTAGTGCAGCCACAACTCAAACACCCAAGTTCATTTGAGACGTTACAGCACGGCTGCTCGCTGCGGACGGTGCCGGCGTGCCGGTAGCAGTGTGGGTGGGTACCGCTCCTGCCAGGACACAGCATCGCCCTCCTCCTCCCTCCTGCCGGGGCAGGGCTGCTGCCCACCGGGGACGGCATCGCCCACCTTCTCCCATCACCCTAACACATTCGGGCTCCGTCCGACCCACGAATAGCAGGCTYGGCGGTGGAGGGCGATGCCGGCACCCAGGGAAGCCGCAGGGCTCCGGGAAAGCAGAACGAGACGGCCGAGCTCCTCCACCACCTCCCGCTGCCACCCTGGGCACCCGCCAGCTCCGCAGGCTGCTGTGGCACAGCCCCGCGCTGGGTTCTTTTGGGAAGAGGGTGGGAATGGGACATTGCTTATTTATGGGATAGGGACAAAAAGTAAGAGGAGGAAGCGGAGGAGGAAATAATCCAGCAGGTTGTTCCCATCAGCCCCTCCCGGGCCGCCGCATGGCAGCCGGGGCAGCAGCGATGGGGCACCCCCGGAGCCGCCGGTCCACAGAGACGGGGAAGGGAACCCGGCTGCTCCCCGGCACCATCCCCACGGGGCCCCGCGGGCCAGGGCACTCCGTGAACCCCCCCCGAGATACCCGCACCGCCGTGTGGCCCCGCGGGCTGCGGGCACGGCAGGGCACGGCAGGCCGCGGGCTCACCTCGGTACTGCAGCGAGCCCGAGAGCCGCACGGTGACGGTGCCGGCCAGCGGCTCGCCGGGGCTGTAGACGACGCGGCTGTCGCCCAGGCGGATCTCGAAGAGCTGCACCTTCCCCATGGCCGCGCCGGCCCGGCCGCTGCGCAGCGCTCCGC